CACACACACATACTTATACATATATAAACTAGTATAAGAATAATAATAATTATATTTATTGCTTCCAAAATATAATTGTGTTATTGTTATTATTGTTATTAATAAAATATAACATTATCAATTTGTTATTGAAAAAGTACTTATGAATAGTAATGATGTTACAAGTAATATATTTCCCACTTTCTTACAATTTGACAGGTGAGGATCTCATTACATCAATATTTCTTAATTTATTTATATCAAGGAATTTTTATGATATAATAAAATCTTATAGATTATATGTGACAAAATTTCTTTATATAGTTTTAATTGATTAAATATACAGGTTTTCCATCTGTGGGAAAATCTACCTTGTTGAGTACACTTGCTGGTGTGTATTCTGAAGTAGCTGAGTATGAGTTTACAACGCTCACAACTGTCCCTGGTTGCATAAAATATAAAGGTGCAAAGATACAAGTAAGTCTATAATGGATAATTTGCTATATAATTTTATACTAATGAAAATTTTGAATATAATAATTATTATTTTTCATAGGGCCTATTATTTTTTTAATTTGCAAATATGAGCCATATTTCTAATCTGATTTAATATTTTTTACTTTAATCACAGTCTGAATTAGGATTCAAAGTTAACTATGGCAATAAAATCAAGTAAGATTATAACAGAATGCATCTTGCAGCTGTTAGATCTTCCAGGTATTATAGAGGGTGCAAAAGATGGCAAGGGACGTGGACGACAAGTTATCGCCGTGGCGCGAACATGCAGCCTTATCTTTATCGTCTTAGATGTGCTCAAACCACTCGGACATAAACGGCTGATCGAGCATGAATTGGAAGGTTTTGGTTTGCGCTTGAACAAACAGCCACCGAATATAACTTTTAAGAAGAAAGATAAGGGTGGTATTAATTTACAAACCATGGTAAGAAAATGATTTATTGATTTTAATTTATTGATTATTAACAGTCAGTATGGATCAAATATCAAGAAATTAAAAATTATTGCAAATATTTTAGTGTCCACAATCCGAATTAGATTTTGACTCAGTGAAAATGATCTTGTCAGAATACAAAATCAGTAATGCGGACATTACGTTAAGGTACGACGCCACCTCTGATGACTTGATCGACGTTATAGAAGGAAATCGCGTTTATATTCCTTGCATTTATCTCTTGAATAAAATAGGTAATTATGTCAAAAATGTTGCCAAGTATAATGATGAAGAGTTAGATAAGAAATATTAATGAACGAGAATTTTCTCTTATAGATCAAATAAGTATAGAAGAATTAGATATTATTTATAAAATTCCACATTGTGTGCCGATCTCAGCTCATCACAAATGGAACTTTGATGATCTGCTGGAAAAAATGTGGGACTATTTACAACTTGTGAGGATGTGAGTCCAAATCTTCTAAATTGTCGTATAAACTATAATTTATGGATTTCTATTAGAATAATCTATGAATTTAATTTTGATGACAGTTACACGAAACCAAAAGGACAACTCCCGGACTATAACGCACCCGTAGTATTAAATATTGAAAAGCGAACCGTTGAAGACTTCTGTAATAAACTTCACAGATCGATCGCGAAAGAATTTAAATAGTAAGATTATTATATTTTATCATGTTTAATATTCGTAAAAAAATTATTAATCGTAAAAAATTATTAATCTTTATAAATATTTGATTTATTCGTTCTGTTACAGCGCATTGGTATGGGGCTCATCGGTGAAACATCAACCCCAAAAAGTAGGAAAGGATCATCTTCTTTGTGACGAAGACGTTGTGCAAATTGTAAAAAAAGTGTGATATCGTTTACCTTGCACGATCCTTTCTTGGCGCAAATAAAGTTAACTAATGAGATTGAATAATATTGTTTGTAAAAAGATCACATTTTTATTAATTATGAATGTGAATATATTATATTCACATCTGCATAATATATGTTTATGTCGCTATTATATCTGATCATGAATGAACAAAATGCAACGAAAATGATAAAATTTTTACCGATATTAGCTAGTTGTTTTTATATATATTTGAAATTGTGTATAAAATTTCGAAGTCTATATTTTATACTTGTCACTTAAAATTTCTTGAGTGAAGTAACAATATAAAGTACAATATAAAAGTAAATTATTTTAATTATTATATTTTTTTAATTTTATATGTACTATTACATTTATAAAATCAATTATCGATATGATTTGTTATTTAATATAATATTGCATTTTGTAACATATAATTCGTGGTGATTTGTCCAGGAAAAAGTATCTCTATACATAGTAAAAATTAATTTGTGTTCAAATATATAAACGGAGATATATATACACATACGATCTTATAAATTATATAAGCTATTTACAAAGATTTCAAAATATATTCTTTCCTTTGTTGGTCCAACAACTTTTCCAAGTGTTCACATCTTGAATTAACATCCTCAAGCTTTTTATTGAGATTCTTTATAGTTAGAACTTTTTGAGTAACTACAAGTTTTATCCTAAAACAAAGTGATATATTTATTGAAAAAAAAAGTGATTTAATCATTTTCAATATCAATATCAGTATTAATATTTTTATTGAATTATTGAATATTTTTACCTGCTATGCAATTGTGTCATAAATTGATCTCTATTAATGTTATTTCTATTGTGTTATTTCTTGATAAAGTGACGAAATTTTTTCTTCCAACTCCCTTTTCTCTATTTCGATTTCCTGCTTCGCTATTTCCTTTGCATCGTCTCTCTCTATAGTCAACTTTGTGACCGTCTATAATCGACAAATTATAAAGAGTAATTATATTTAATTAATGAGTTATTTTCACGAAATTTACCTCGTTCATATTATTGAGATTAAACATGCACTCCTTTAATTTATTTTCTGTTTTCTTAAATTGAGTTTCTGTACATTTAAGTCTTTCTTCCAGTAATAGTAATTTATTTTTATAAATATTCTCGCTTTTAATTGCGGTTTGTAATTTTACATCATAATCTTCTTTCATTAGTCTGAAAATAATTTCGATAGAATCGTGATAAGTTTTTTTTGTATTTCTCCTCCTTAGAGAAAAAACGCATTATAAACATACTCCAATTTATTATCGAAACTCTGCTGCAACTTAATTCGCATTTCGCGAGCTTCCTTTTCCAATCTAACTATAGCAATCTCTATATGCCTGTCTCTTTCCTTTTGACAATCATTACGAATTACAGCCTCTGCTCTCGTGAATTTCGCATTTTGTTGTTTTTTATAATCATCTGACCACGCGAGCCACTCTTTTCTCAAGGATTCTTCAAAATTTTTCTTAGCAATTTCGTGTTGCTCTTTTAATCTTTCCGTTTCTTTCTGTAAAAGGATATTTATATAAATTATTGTTAAATGATTGTTTATTTTTCCTCAAGTAGAAAGATTTTATTGTAATTTTATTGTAAAACAGACTTGAAAATGTAATTCCATTTGTTGGATCGTTGCGCTTGTTTCCTGATCACGTTTCTTTTGTTCTGCAATGAGTGCTGATTTCTCTCTTTCAAAATGTTCTGTGAATGTTTTTTGTTGCATCTGAAAATGCACTTCTTGCTCTTCCAAGTTTTCCTTGTATCTAATCAACACACATTATTATGATTCACGTAGATTTTACTTAAAATTATATTAAGATCAATACACATGTGACATGTGATACCTTGTCGTCAATATGTCTTTCTCTTTGGCCAACATTTTCTCGTGACTGTCTGTCAATTCGATTCGTAATTGCTCCAGCTGTTGATTCGATCTACGCATTGCACGTAACTCTGTATCCTGTAACTCTTTTATATGCGCGCGTCTTAATTCCTGGATTTCCTGTTGATGTTGTTCCATCATATTGTGCAACTCTGGTTCCAGGCCTTTCACTGTCATTTCCTGCACAGAAAAAATAATGTTGCTGCATAATTATTTTGATGATCCAACAAAATTATCTTCAAATCTGTGTCCGACTAAGTTTTTAAATACTTCAGCTAAATCGTTCTTTTTGTATGCAATATCAATAATTTTTGTGTAATTTTTAATTATTCCACACAATTTTAATCATCATCTTATCATTATTATTACTTATTATAAATATCTTTGTGTAACTCTTTGTGTAACGTAAAGAAATTAATGATCTTCTAGCATGAGATTATTTTTTTCTCGATGTTATAATTTCATAAAAATTAAAAGGGAGTTTTTGAATTATATTTGCTAATATTAATTGAGATAAATTAATGATTACTTTGATTTTTGACGTTTTCATCTCCAGCCACCGTTCGCGTCGGATCTTTTCAGACGCCGCCATATTTTCTTTCGCACGTTGCAGCTCGACGGCATGCCTCTCAGTAATTACTTTTATATCTCGCTGAATCTTCTGTTCCATTTCTTTAATTTGTCTGGCGAGAGAGTCGCATTTCTGCGTGAGATCTGTTTTCTCGGAAATCAACTGTTCAATAAATTTCTGATGACGTTCCACGATCGTCCTATACTTGTTCTCTAACTCTTTCGTCTTGGTAGCATGACAGTGTTTTTGTGACGCCATTTTATCACATGCCGCTTTGCGCTCAGATTTTAATTGATTCTTCAAACATTCTATCGTCGCGTTTTTTTCCTCAAGTTGTAATTTTGCGGTTTCTAAATCGTCTTGATGACAACTGAGAGTTTGCACGTCGTACCTACAAAAAAAATATAATTATATAATTCGCCGTTTTTTCTTAATATGCACTTTTTAATTGTAAGAAATATTATAGAAGATCAATTCTCTACCTATTAAGATTTTGATAGGATGAGATTACAGTTGTGGCATTATTGGCAATGATGTCATTCTCAGGTGTATCTTTTAATAATAATAAAAGTTATTATATAGTTAGTATTGTTTAACGTGAATTAAAATATTATTTTAATAATGCTAATCTATTAAATCTTAATACCATTTTCTAATGTTCCTAAGAAGGACATTATGTCCTCGTAAGTTGTTGCGATTGGTCCACATTTGTCTGTGGCAATATCTTTCTCTGGCTTGATCTGCGCTCAATTATATTTAATTCAATAATAATTCAGCAAAATAATTTTTGAAAATAAATGAGAAATAAATTAGATATTATTTTTATAAATTAATTAATTTTTATTAATGAATTAACTTTTATTAATTAATTTTTAAAAGCTAAACTTTCGTTGCTTACTTGTCCTAAATATTTATACATTGCTGGTTCCAGATTGACATTGTACTTTTCATCGACTGCCAATAAATCCATTCGATTGACCTCTGCGATTTCGAT